TTGTATTTGTATTTATATTTACATATTTATATATACCAGTCAAATTCTTTTTTATCTGGTCGTATTTCTAAAGTTTGGTAATTTAATTTAATTCGGCAAATTACATTAATCTGAGGTGTTCCAGATCATCATTCTTTATTATATTTTTAATTTAAAATACAATTAACATAGACTTTCTGATTCTGATTGATTGTACGAGTAACTTGTTAGTCTCTGACTGGAAGTACCACTTGCAGCTTAAAAGGTAACGAATCGCTGATAAAAAATGGAGAGTGAAGTTTAAAGCGTTTCGGGATCTACAGTTTGATTACTGTCCATGAGGAATCTCAGTGAATTTTCTGGTTATAGGGTTGTTGTATCACTTCCACTTAGCTTAAGTTAAATGATCCTTTCAGCTTCCTCAGTGCTGCTTGCGTTGTCATTTGTAGGAAACTCTAATGAATGAACTTAGTGAACGGAGTCAATCATTTTATTCACAGTTGCATCGAAGTGTAATTGTTTTTTTGTAAATGGTACCTGCGTTGTTTTTTTCAGCAGATAATCCTTTATTACGATTACTACGGCTTGAAGACTTAGCAGAAAGGCTTTTTTTATTGCTTCCAGCAATATCTGTTCTTTATCTGGAAAGGTTGAATAAAGATACCATGCGCATTTTTTGCGGAAGACGGGTGGAGCGAATTTGGATGTTATTGTTGAGAAGAGATTTTGGAAGTAAGTTTGTAAAAAGTATATTTCTTTCAATTACAATATTGTAATTTTTGGTTCTTTACTACGGCGCTTTCCTTGCCTCTACTTCATAATCTCTTTGACACTCAGCTGAATTTAATAGGGATTTTAAATCATTTGCTGTTGCTATTAAAGCCTCTTTTCTAGTTACGGGTTTGAAATCTGTTAAAAGTTATCGGGACTGTTACAAAAAGAAATATTTGGAGAGAAAGACGTCTTCCTCGATACAGGCCGGAGTTACGACGCTTGCAGATATCAACCCTCTCTTCCCACCGTCACATCCTGCCTGTATATATCCAGAAATGCCTTTTGGGTATAGAGATCGGGTACCACCGTACAGGCCCTTAATCCCTGACCCTGATCTTCCTGTAGGCCCACAAGTGTTCGATCCAGATGATCTGTTCCCAGATGTACGTCGTCCACGTTTTCCAGCTGTGAATCCACCATACGATCCTTTTGGTAGCAGTGAAATATTGCCTTCGAGACCTTTACGCCCTCAAGGGCAGCCTAGGCAGTTCCCACGTGGTGGTGGTCCAAGCAGTTATTGGTTTGGGTAAAATGTAACTTGTGAATGACTTTCTATCGGCATTACTTGTAAATAATTGTCCCTTGTACTGATCTTCTCTGTGAAATTGTTCTAACCGTTTGATTTTTGATTTAAGGTCATCTACAGTCACTAATATAGTAAAGTTTTCACTGCGCATTTTAGTAAACTGCTGTCTATGTAGCTACGAAACGGGTATTTATTCACTTGTTTTTACAGATGTTAAGAAAGCAATTTCTAAATTCGCAGACTGATTTCTGAATAAACTGAGTTTGTACCGGGATGTATTTGGGTATTTTCCATACAGGATGGAATTTTACTACCTGTTCACAAGACTGTGTAGACTTTTGTAGACTGGCGACAGCAATTGGTCTAGTAATAGTTGGAGGTACATGAAGGTAGTTTGGGCAAGTTTGTATGATGAGTATGTTGTTCCATTTTTATTTTGTTACTGTTATCGAACAGTGACGAGTTTAGGGACAAAACTGAGTTGAAAAGAGGAGGTCTGGTTTTTAAAACAGTCGGAGGGCCACCTGAGCTACTTACCTGTGTAACATGAAGGGCTTTAATTAATTAAATGATAGTTTAGTTTTTAAAATACTAAGCTTCGTAACTCAGTTGCGGTCGATGAAAAAACGGCATTACAATCTGCAGCTCTACTAAACTGCAGCCAATTTTGTCGTTATGCTTACAGTTTCTTGACGTCAATTAAGTCTAAACTTTATATTTCAGACAATTTGTCCCGTTGATCAGTAGAGATAAGTATATCAGGTTAGCAATAACATACCAGCAACTTTGATAAACAGTATTAATTTTTACATCAAGGTTACTGTAACTGGCATACAAAGTAAACGTAGAAATGCATGACAGAGCAAAGGTTAAGACGAAGTATTCTCCGGTGAAAATAGTAAAAGTATACAAAGTCCAGCAAAAAGTCTAGTTACACTGGAAGGCCATAGTGGAAAGTCAAGACTGGTAATATGACCTGAGCAGAAATAATGACGCAAGGATAGTGGTATACATAATTCGTACTGGACGAATGTCACTGTTCTATTGTTCCAGTAATGGTTATCAAGAACACTGTGATACAGAAAGTAACACTTTGTTTTAACTGATTGTGGAGGTAAACGTGAAAAAATAAGGAAAAAAGACAAAGGTATGGCAGAAAATGAGCTGAATATTTGACAACCTTAACAGTGGCAGTTTCGAATTAATGTCGAAATTCGT